TTCATCCCACTAAAAATGGTATTAATAGGTATTGATCCATACCCATATCACAGTTTTATCGCAGTTTCCCAATTTTCCCATCTCCCAACAAGGGCACAGAACTTCACGATCGCAGCGATACATCTCAGAGGCACTGGTGTCTACGTAGGTGTTCGACCACCTGGCGCTGGAAAATGATGATTTTGTGACGAGACTGACGAGTAAAATGATGTAAAATGATGGACCACTGTTGAAAAATGATGATTTCATGGCCTACAGGTCAATCATGATCTTGTGAAAATGAGTCCTAGATTGGGACAAATAAGCTAGGTTACAGTTTCCAGCATGTTTTTCATACATGGTTTGGGAATGTTTGGGACATGGATGATGTAAGAATTGGGACATTAAAAAGTGGTTTCACACTTGGGCTAAAGAGCTAAATCTGAAATGGCGGCTAAATTCATCCGCAAATGGATATGGGATATGACTTAAAATTGGTGGATAAACTTTATCTGATTCAGGTGGAGAAATCATCACAAAATCAGGTGAAAATATGTGAAAATAGTGAATTGCAACACAAGAAATGTCTCCAATCTATGAGAAACTGGGTTCACAAGAACGGATATACAGAAAATATACTGAAGTAATGATTCATGTCTGAATGTACATTTAAACATACGGCCTTCTGAATGTGCGAACTTGTATCTGCTACTACCTCCATGAAGGTTTGCCGGGACCACCCAACAATTAAATACACGGGCGATTCTGCTCTCTACACAGGCCTTCTAGATATATGGACAGAACTGATACAGCGCAAGTACTGTATAAGAAAGTACTGAGAATTTGAGGGGCTCGGCTTCAATCCCAACTTGGGAATCTTGGGGATGCCTCAAATCCCTACCTTAAGAATCTCAAGGACCCTGACGGGTGAACACTGATCATCCATGATCATCCTAGTACTTGGGGAGGCACATCATCATAGAGTCGTGCTCCAAAATCGTTCTGTGATGAAACGTGGCAATTATGACAATGGGAAGGAAATACATGGAAATACGGACATAATATGTGGAAATATGTGGAAATACATGGAATTACAGCTTTGCTTCACTGGAAACTTAGACCTGATCTGGGATCTTTCATTGCCAAGGTGGACACCCGGCTGGCGCTTCGACTTGTTGATCCATTCGCCACGACGGCAATCGCTTGCAAATTGTATGCTCTGGTCTGGTTCAAGGTGCACATTGGACTAGGATTGGACTAGGATTGGATTAGGATTGGACTAGGTTGTTTGAAGAATGTACAGGAAACGGTCAAACATGGTCAAACAGTATCCGAAAAACTGGGTGTCTCCATGTGTCTCCTGTGTTTTGTTTGCCTGAAATCAACTCAGGCAGACATCAGAAGACTTTGCATGACCTCAGACATATTTCGTTGAGAATAGGTACCCCATGGTACCCCCAAAATCCCATGGTTTGAACCCTTTGAACCCGAATTTTTCCAGCCCATTTGGGTTTCCAGGAACCGTACCAGTCCAGAGGCGAGCCGGAGACCCGATCTCTCAAAGATGGCTCCGCTTCGTGCAAGCCCCCAGGGGCAATTCGGCTGTTCATTTCTGTGGAGTCCTTTCACTGTCACGATGCAGATTGTTTTGTCATTTTTGAAGGTGAGGAAATTCATGACTTTTTGATAGTTTTTGCTGTTTTTCTTACTGGGTATGCGAGAACCGCGCTCTGGCAAACGTTAGGTTCCCTACAAACTAGATCCTGATATTGTCAGCGCCTTTCTGGATGGTAATATCGGTTTTCCCACTTGATTCATTGCAGACTGCAGTCTGGGGGGATACTTGAGGCTATGAAAACTCTTCTAACAACGTAGAATACATATTGATATTCTGGCCACCACTCTACTAGTAACGGCTTTCCACGTTTTCCTTACTCTGCAGCTTTTCGCTTGGGGAATCATCCAGCGTCCCTCTCCGTCCCTGTTCTGGCATGTGCCCCAAACTCCAACTATTCATAGCTCACTTTTCATCAGTGACAGGACAGTTCTTCCAAACCAAACATTGAGTCCAACATGCGGAATTGCGGAATTCATATGGCTTTGTCTGGCAATAGGATTTGATGCTCATGGTTTTCAGTATGAAAATTACCATTTCAGGGGCATACCATGGCATACCATGGCATACCATGGTATACCATGGTATACCATGGTATACCCTATAGTATACTCACATTTTTCAGACATCAGAACTTCCCATGGCATCAGCTGAAAGGAACCCTTTCATCGTGGACTCGTGCCACCAAGTCGGGTCGCATTTGCGGCATTTTGTACATCCCAGCGACACGACTTGCTATATCAATGGCCAAAAAATCGAAGATTGTCCTCATCGGCATCCACTCATTCAAGCTTGGTTTCTCAGTTCTTTGGGTTCATTGTTTTAGTGATTTGACCATGTCTTACGAATCCCTTATTGGGCAAAATGACGTAAAATTATGTGTTTCTTTATGTTTCTGTATAGTATTTGATCAGTTTAGTTGATCTCCGTTCTCATCATATTTTATAATCAGTTTTACAATAATCCCCATTAATAGTATACTTGTCAACCAACCGGGGTTTTGAACATTGCTCATAGCTATAGAAAATCACCGATTTACCTGCTAACCATGGTGATTTTTTGTAGCAAACTGTAACAAATTATCAGAGGGTAAATCCCACCACATATTCCCATTCAATTTCCCATTATATTCGCATTGAATCAATATATTAGTCATAGAATTGGATGATGGGAAAATTTTAACCGGAAAGCCCTATATTTGATGGTAAAAACCCATGGTTTCCTGTAGATTTTCCCTTAAACCAATCCAGTGAATTAGTTGATCTCCAATCCAACTGGCCATGGCTCGATAAAACTTCGCCCCATCGCTTGCCACCATGGCATTGTCGGCGTGTTGTCGCGGGCACGCGAAGCATGCGAACGGTGCATATGTCAGGCAGCTTAATGCATGGATTAATTTCAGCACATTATGGGGATATAATATAATATAATCTAATATAATATAATATAATATATAATATATAATATATAATATAATATAATATAATATAATAATATAATATAATAATATAATATAATATAATAATATAATATAATATAATATAATATAATATAATATAGTATAATATAATATAATATAATATAATATATAGGTATATAGGTATATAGTTATAAGTTAAGATTATGGAGGGAATATAACTGATATAATCGATATTATATATAATTAATATATATATAATATATAATATATGTATTATATGTATATAAATGGATATAAATGGTGGAAACCTGTTTCATTGGATTGCTTTTTTTTCCGTGAAAGTCCAAAGAACGCCCGTGGTTTTCCTGCTAAAAATGAATTGTCAGGATCGCCGGTGGATCGCCTCACTTCTCAGTCATGGAGGCCACAGCCGTCCATTCGGCCAGCTCCTGCAAAAGGTCATGTTGAAACACTTGGAGATAGGGAAAGATAGGGAAAGATATGGAAAAATGTTTTGGAAAATCAAAGTGACCTACTGTGGATTGTAAGCCTTCCATACAATACTAGGTCAGGATCGCCGGTGGCAATGAACACCAGTGTCTTGCGTCTAGAAGACAAAGAGTCCTATTGAGGTACTGTAGAATCTGTAGAATCAATGACTGCGTAGCGTACATCAAATTATCAACTTTGCTTTTGGTGATTTCGATTGAATCATCACTTCTTCAATCGAGTTGTGTTCACCATCTGTGACAATGGTCCCTTCGCAGGCCCCCAGCCTTGCCTCACGAGGCGTCTGGGGCGCAAAGTTATTTGCCGCAAACAATACAATTCCACAGGATTGCTGGAGCTATTCGCTAAAATGACATTGCGCACATAAAGGGCTCCCAGGATAGGTAAGTTGGGTTATAATAACTAGAGGCTGACTGGGAATTATGCTGGATATTTATATAATCATATATATATATAATGAGATTAGACCAACTTATAACTGAGTGGCCCATTCCTGCAATTTTATCCGTCCACTCTTGGCAGATCGCAGGTTACCCTGGGTCCTGCAAGAACGCGGGGTCTGAACCTTCCGCCACCTGCGATGGTCGCTTCCAGGCCAGTAATTGATCACTGTTTCAGTAGGGGTTTATTTGATTTTATTTGTCTATCTTTGGATTCTGTTTGCGGGTTGCAAAAATCATGTGGTAAAGCCAATGCCGTAAACCATTCCCTCATTGAAGCAGTTTTACTCCTGGGCTACTCCAAAACAAAGTTTATGTGTTACCATCTGGTTATTTAACATAGCCATGGAAAATGACCCATTTATAGATGGTTTACCTATTAAACATGGTGATTTTCCATGGCTATGTTAAATAACCAGAGGGTATATTGGTTTATGGCCTTTATCGTTTTGGATTTACTCTCGCAGTGATGATGAAGTGCCTCCAAAATAATGAAAACAAAAAAACGCGGCGACAAGCCACAAACCTCCAACATCCTCCAACTCTGTGACCCATGAAGACTGCCATGCCTACAGTGAGGTTACCCTCTGGTAATTTAACATAGCTATTGAAAATGGCCATTTATAGTGGATTGTCCCATTGAAAATGGTGATTTTCAATAGCTATGTTAGTTTACCAGAGGTTATTTGCTTCTGTAATTAGCTCGTCCGACCCAGCACACCCAGCACCCCGTCGTGCGCACCTTGGCCGCAAGACTTGCAGATCGCCTCAACCGGCGTTTCGAGCTATGCTGAGGATAGTGGGTGGCTTTTCATCGCGGTTTCCTGCAATTTTTCCCTTTAACGAATGCTGTGAAATATTTGTTTGGGTCAACATCATCAACCTAAGAAAGATATAGAAAAAAAGATGACTTGACTGAACATGATCAATCTTGTAGGTCCACTCAAACCTACTCTGGAGCCATAGCCCTACAATACTGGGAAATTGTAGTTCCCAAAGCCCAAAACTGAAATCAGCCATTTTGAAAGATGTACCAAGACGACTTCAAAAGGTTGTGCATTTGGTGCCCAGGCTTCAGTAGACGTTGAGCTGCAACATCTTCTGGCCGCTCCTGTCGTTACCAGCTGTGGACGTGTGTATGTTTTCTCGGTCTATATCGATACCTGTGGTCACTGCAAAAGACGAAATGGTCACTA